CGAATGCTAATTTTAATAACTATTAATACTAAGTCGTTTAAATGACATTGGGAACTTTTTGCCCCACTTTTCGAAAAGTAGCGGACACAAACGAAACCTATCACAGATGATACATACTAATATCCAATGAATTTCCGTGCATTTTTTTTCTCTCTTATATGGGAATATTGAGAAAATGAAGTTTTAATATTTTATTTTATTTTACATTTAGGTAAGATTTTTGACGACCTCGGTGGCGGAGAGGCGCACACACCGGTTTTCAAGGTGTGCCGGGCCAATCCTGAGGTCCCGGGTTCGATTCCCGGCCGGGACAATATAGAAAACGATCTTTTCACATTGTCTCTGGTTTGGGTGTGTTGTGGTTCGTCATTCCCGATTTCCATAACACAAATGCCTTAGCTACTTATTTTGGGTTAGAGTAATATATTAGATGTTGTCAAATATTAATTTAAGTATTTATAATATTTTATTTATTTATATTATTTTATTTATATTTTTTATTTGTTTATATTATTTTATTTACTTTTATTGGTTACTCTGCAATGCCAAACAACATAACATATAAAAATATCAAATCATTTTAGACAAATATATTTTCAACTTAGACTCGTCATATCTCAGAATTCCCATATATCACAACATAGCGCTTTAAGTGAATATACCTACAAGTATAAAGCTTTGAAATAAAATACGTTTCATCTTTGTCCGCCCGTGGGGCATTTTCTCATATTAAAGTTCCCAATGTCCATTAGTATCATTTTAACCCTCCGTGTACGAGGTGACTAAAAGTTACGTCCCGTACCAGGTGGGGTATGACATACCCCAATATACAAAGTGATAAAATTTTCATTTAACATTTTTTTAGGTGGAATTTAATATTTAATATTGATTATTTACGTATGCTAATTAGGTGTAAGAAAAGCTCTGAGCTGAAAATGTGTATTATAACATTTTTATTATAAAATAACAAAAAGACACAATTTCCGTTGTTCTTGTAATTGAGGAATCAGTTTCTTATGTATAATTTTTAATTAGTGCCTTTAATTATGACAACCGTTTTATTTAACAAAGTACAAGATATTTACTTATAATTTAAAAGTAAATTAAAAACTGGAAGGGTATAAATTTATTTTGATTATCGGTTTTCAATTTATAACAATTCTGATGAAAGAAAATGAGTATGCTCAATGCATAAAATGGGAGCGTAACAATTTTATTTATTTATAAAATATGCTGTTCCATTTCAGTAGCCCATAAATTGTATCACCAAGTATAAATTGTAGCCCATAAGTGTATATTCACATACATCTTCGGATCTCAGTACTAAACTTCCAGGTTCGCACTAAAAGTCATCTCATTTGACTAAAAGTGCTTGAAAATTTCAGGTTCCGTGAAAATTACGAAAAATATTATTTGTATTGAATTTTATTCAATTAACAAAGTTAAAAATATATAAATTATACCAAAACTATTAAATTATTTTTTAACTTTTTTAACAACGTCCCGTACCAGGTGTGGTGTGTGATACCCACACGCACTTTAAAGGCATGTTACTCAGTTGGTAGTCACCGCTGGACTGATTTTGCAGCGCTGATCGAAGCAGCAGCGCCATAATTCCAGCTACTGAGAATTTCAAATTCAGCACTTACAAATTTTTAAAATTATGGCGATTTTTAAAGGCCTGGGGTGTGTCACACCCCACCTCGTACAGCGAGGGTTAAGTACTTAATTAATAAATAAAGACACTCTCAAACAAAATTCTAAAGTACGGAAACTGAACAGCTAAAAATAATAACAAAACGAAAAATAATTAACTATAACGAAATGCTTATCAAAAGATTCTGCGACTTAAGGTTTTTCTTTCAGATACGGAAAAATATGTTCCAGAATCTGGAGCTATGCCAGCTTTGATTTATTCAAAATGAGCGGGATCATTTGGCTAGACTTTTTCTTGTAGGAGTATTGAGGAATCCATTTAAATGCGTAGTTGGATACAAAGATCGTAAATCTCAAAGCTTCTGAGTGCGATATTAAAAGTTGGTGTACACTTGCGTCACGCTTGAGTAAAGCTTGGTGATAGGATACCTATATTGGTTAAAGATATTTATTTCTCAAAAAGATTACAATGCAATCACTTACAGAGAAACATTAATTTGTCTTAATAATAATAAACAATACAAAAACGATTATTATTAGATATACGTTTATTATTAGACTAGTGACCAGCCCGGCTTTGCAGAGGTACAATATACTTAAAAACCTTCCTCTTGAATCACTCTGTCTATTAAAAAAACGCATCAAAATCCGTTGCGTAGTTTAAAGATCTAAGCATACATAGGGACAGACAGACAGCGACTTCGTTTTGTACATGTAGTGATGATAGGGGGATAAATAATTTGTTCACCACTACTCATTTTGATTCTGAATAATTTCGGTGCGGATCCAATGACAGTTTAACTTTCCCCCGGGACAAACTTGACCTTCACTGGTTACTGGTTGGGTTTTTATTGGCGGTCAAGCTGTAGATCCTGGCTACACAGGAGTTGCAGCGGTGGGACCGAGAGGTGGGAATAGTCCCGTTACTCATTTTGATTGCGAGCAAGTGAAACAGGTATGATATGAGCTAATTCACCGAAGATTGTACTCGACAAATTTACTATAATATTGTCGATTTTTCGCTTCTAATTTTAATCTGATTATGTCTTTCCATCTAGTGACATGCAGGCCAAGAGCTTCCTCATTATGGATAAAAACTATTTTGAAAATGTGACCGATAAAACGTTGTCATTGTTTACGTGAGATTTTTGGTTAAATTAATTAAAAAAAAAATAAAAAAAAAATAGAAAAAAAATTGAGGTATGGATGGTAGTTAAGTCTATGCCTGAGATTAATTTAAAACCCGTTTCCCTTGATACGTCTGTGTTAGAGTACCATCTGCAATAGGCAAATGGAGCAATAAATGTATTGAATGAAAAAGAAATTAAAAAACTACAACATTGTTTTGCAGTTATAGGCTAGCATGGATTCCATTTCAACAGAGAGAGATTTCATTTAGGAATTTGTGGTGTAAAGTTCTAAAACTTTTCTCTTCGATGGACTAGGGATTCAGAGTTATTTGATTACCTAAGTAGTTAGTTAGATGTACAGTATTAAGGCTGAGTTGCACTACCTAATTACATAATAATATAACCGTGACTATAACGAAATCCGGTGTTATTTTGTATGGATTTTAACAGATTATGACGTTTGTTTAAGTTAAAGTAAGATGGTGCAACCCAGCGTAAGTGTGTTAATACTTCATGTTATTTAGGTTTAATATTCGGAGAGAAAATACATTCCACCATAGAAGAATTAATATAGCGTTATAGCCTATATTTTTCACTTCACTTAGATCCCTTAGTATCCTACGACGATCATTATTTCTTCCTATGATACTGGTTACCAAACTCTGGTATCATACACGGCCGAAGGGACTTAGATCCCTCCTCCCTTAGGGTCAATAATACTTTAGTATAGGCTATTGCCACCCGGCATCCCGCCACTGTACATAACTTTTATATGCAAAAGATTGAATAAATCTATACTTATAATAAATCTGTAGAGAGGTCAATTCTGTACATGAAATATATTTTCAAAATAACTATCAGGGGGTGATTAGTGATCGATACTGAAGCCAAAAATGCAATCAGTAAAATGTTTGTCTGTCTGTCTGTCTGTCTGTCTGCCTGTATGTTCCTTATAGAAACAAAAACTACTCGACGGATTTTAACGAAACTTGGTACAATTATTCTTCATACTCCTGGGCAGGTTATAGTATACTTAAGAATTCCCACGGGAACGGGAATTAGCGGGGAAAATCCTTTTGTATGAAAAATCTAAACCGCTTAAGTTAGACGCTTGAAATTTGGCATGCAGGTACCTTAGTAAACTTAAAGCTTAGTTACAACAGGATATTGCAAAATTCCTACGGGAACGGGAGTTAGCGGGAAAAAACATTTGTATGAAAAATCTAAACCGCGTAAGATAGACGAAGGGGGTAAAACGGGATCCACACGTACGAAGTCGAGGGCGGCCGCTAGTAATTAATAAACAGTTATTAATAATGGAAAATCTTCGGTCACTGATACCAAGAGGTATAATAAAGCAGTTATTATAAAGGGCCTGACGAATTATAACTTAGATTATTTAATACGTCACGTGCCGCTTTGGGGATTAATGAAGATCATAATATTTTGATCTATTGATATACGAGTACTTGCTTTAAAAATAGACTAGACGATATTTTATTTACTATCATTTTCTGTGGGCTGAAAGCCCGTAATAGTTTTGAATAGCCACTGAATTTGATAATATTTCAGTGTCCTTCAAAGTATGGTACCTATCATCCAAATTAACTGGCTGGTTTTTATGTTAATTCTATTGTGCATTAAAAAAAACTTATAAAAAAACTAATGATTGCGCCATAGGTTACGTTTATGCATCATAGATCAATATGGCCAATCTGAATTTATTTAGGTACGATACGATACATTGAAACCCGGAGGTGTATCACTACAAACTACATTAATAACATCTTATTTCAAAATTCTCAACATTCCGATTTTCTAGCTTCACCAGGAACCCCTCAATTGAATTATGGTCTAAATAAACCTTCGTTTCAGCCGAAAGACGTCCACTGCTGGACAAAGGCCTCCCCCAAGGTTTTTCACAAAGACCGCTCCTGCGACGCTCGCATCCAGGCACCTCCCGCGACCTTCACCAGATCGTCGGTCCACCTAGTGGGAGGCCTGCCCAAGTGCCCACGCTACGTCTTCCGGCTCGTGGTCACCACTCAAGAACTTTCCTGCCCCAGCGGCCATCAGCTCTACGAGCTATGTGCCCCGCCCAATGTCACTTGATTTTAGCAATTCTGCGCGCTATGTCAGTCACTCTGATTCTTCTACGGATCTCCAGATTTCTTTCAGAATCAAATAAACCTAAAGCATAATTTTCTTTCCCAGGTGTGACCAGCCTCCGTGACGTCAAGCTCCTGGTTCATCCCACCACAGTGGTGCGAGGAGGGACAGCTGCTCTGATCTGTTCCCGTGACATGCAGGGAGCCCCTCTGTACTCCGTCAAGTGGTACAGAGGCAATCACGAGTTCTATAGATACACGCCGATGGACGACAAGCCGACACAAGTCTTTGGACTGCCCGGCATCACAGTGGATGTGAGTTTTATTTATTTAATATACTTTTGCCCATAAAAGTGATGTTCAGTGGCGAACTTCACTTAAACTTCAAGCAGCCACAGGTCAAGCAGTTTTATGTCAATCGCAATTTGTTGAAAAACCATACAGAACACACTCGCATAAAACCGAAAGCCTTCTATGGATGCCTCTAAATATGACAAGTGACACTTTTAAGTATTTTCAACTGTTTCTATTTCCCAACTAATAATATTATAAATGCGAAAGTAACTCTGTCTGTCTGTCTGTCTGTTACGCTTTCCCGCTTAAACCTCGCAACCGATTTTGATGAAATTTGGCATAGAGATAGTTTGAGTCCCGGGAAAGAACATAGGATAGTTTTTATCCCGGTTTTTGAAACAGGGACGCGCGCGATAAAGTTTTTCTGTGACAGACAAAATTCCACGCGGGCGAAGCCGCGGGCGGAAAGCTAGTTTAATATACTTTTGCCCATAAAAGTGATGTTCAGTGGCGAACTTCACTTAAACTTCAAGCAGCCACAGGTCAAGCAGTTTTATGTCAATCGCAATTTGTTGAAAAACCATACAGAACACACTCGCATAAAACCGAAAGCCTTCTATGGATGCCTCTAAATATGACAAGTGACACTTTTAAGTATTTTCAACTGTTTCTACTATTGAGTGATCATCGTTTGGACGTCAATATTAGGTGAATTCGAACAGCGAAACTCTACAAGAACATTCCTCCCGGAAACATGATCTAATTCCATATATGTTCAAGTTTTAAATGCCCGATCAAAAACTGTACGTCATCATAAGGATTACATAAGGCTTTGATGAGACAACGGTTGTCCTCTGATACAAGATATAAACTTAAACACGATAGTATAGAGAAGAAAAATAGATTATATTAGAAAAATAGATGAGAATCTGATGGACGGGATTCTCATCTATTTTTTCTAATTATTTTAATTGTTTTTTTTTTGTCTTTACCAAAAGAATAAAACCGTGGGCAAAGAATAATGCCTCACTGAGGGTAGTTTTATTTTTCTATAATTTTAATACTATAAAGCTTTCTCTTGTTGTGAAAATATCTCGGTCCATTTTTTCATTGTCTAAGCTATTAAAAAGGCCGTGTTGTTTTGCAGCTAACAAAAACTGAAAACCTGACAAAAAATGTTGCCTATTAATTTTGAAAAGTGAAAAACAACTTTGCTAATCTTAATATTCTTTAATTAAGGTTTCGCAAGTTGTAGTTTCTTAAATGAAAAGTATGAGACTGAAAAGTGTTTATTAACTTTTTATATTTAAAATATATTTTACTAGCGAAAAATGTGCCTTAAGAACTAGGCAGAGTAACTAAGATTCATTTACCAAATTAAGAGTTTTCTACAAATATTTAATTTGAATTTTAAAACTTGAGTTGATTTTTGAAATAATGAAATTCCTGAGTCATTTGGATAAAAGCAAGCGAATACGCATCGACTTCACAAACATTGTTTTATTGTAAGTCATACATTACAGACAGAACTAAGTTAAAGACATCTTATTACCTAAAATCTAAATGGCAAGTTCTTAAACACATAGAACAGACATTCCTCAGACGTTCTCAATCTAACTAACTCACGTTTTCTTATCTCGCTGGAAAATTTTAGAAATTTCCTTCTGCGTCTCGGACAATTTTCCAAATTGACTCGATAAAGACTGGAATAGAACCTGAAATGGTTTCCCGTTTTCTAAACTTACCAGGTATTTGCCGATTTCTTTGATGTACGGGTACAGTGTCGAGATCCCTAATTCAATAGCTAGTTTGATTCCTTGCTTTTGTTCATTAGAATTTACGTTACAAAAGAAAACCTTCAGTATTCTGAAAATTTGATCATTACACAATTTTGTACCTACTGAGATATCCGCCAATTCTAAGAAAATAAACGATTTGATTTGATTTGAATTCGATGATTTGTGTGGCGTTAGAAAAGTCTGAGTGCAGGTGAGAGTGAACAAGCATTCAAAGGGAAGGTATGTACCATCCTAGCCTGCACATCAGGTGATTTCGGACAAGGCAGGCGCCTTGTTCTGCATAAAAATGGGCTTTTATAAAGTGCTAATACACGCCCCGATATGACTTTTAAACCAACCACCGCTTTAGGACAATAAGTAGGCCAGAATACATTAAATTAACAGTTTATTTCACCTTAGATATTCCAGACGTACCATCACGACTGTGCCCTAATTAGGACTAGGAACTTTTTTATTGTAACAGCCAACAACAATTCAAGTCACGTTTCTTACCACTGTAACAGTAGCAAAGTTGAAATAAACTAAACTGTACCTAAAGAGACCATTGTCACCAGGGATGTTATGGATATCCGTAACCGTAACCGAAACTTTCGGATATCCGAAATAAAAACATATCCGTAACCATAACCGTTTCAAAGGTTTCGGATAGTTTCGGATGTAAGCATAGTCAAGCAAGTACGCTGATTTAATGATTGCGTTTTGAAGTACATGAGTTTTTTCCCATGATAAAAGCTTTTTTGTGAGACCAAAAGAAGGTGACAGATGCCAAAGAAATTTCTTCTGTACCCATTCTATTCGTAAGGCATGAACTGTGTTGGACAACTATTAGAATTTGCATTCTATACTTAGCACAGATATCCGTAACCGTAACCGAAACTTTCGGATATCCGAAATAAAAAATATCCGTATACCGAAACCGGTATAAAATTATTCCAATATCCGTAACCGTATCCATAATCGAAACTACATATCCATAACATCCCTAATGGTCACTAATAAGCTAGGGAAGACCTAAAGGGATAAAGAGATGATTGTCGCCGCCTAAACTAACTTTCATAAGCCAATGCTAAATATAAATCAACCCCAAAAGATTCCAGAGATCTTAGATCTCACCTAGATTCCCCAGACGCTACGTGAGTAGCATCTCCTACGCATTCTACTTCGTGTTTACCAAATTATAATATTTATCAATGACATTGGATTCCCCTCAAAAGTCGGGCTTAGTTTTCCAAGTCAGGTGGCTCATGAATTAAGATATTAATTTTATTTATTACGCAATAGCATAGACTTCAATGAGGTGATATGAGGATTTGGCACACTGGATGCGATCTGCGGTCAGCGGCAAGGTCAATGGGTCGCACATTGTTTAAAGATACAGTAAATATTAATTAAAATTAAAGATATCCAAAAATTTTGCGTAGCAAAACTGTGCTCATCAACATTATTTGGGTATGAAATATTTCAAATAAAATCAAAAAGTTTCAAATTACTTTTAGTCGTTGGTACTTAAACGTTAGAGCCGGCATAAATGGTACATTTAACACTTTATAAAGACTATAAAAATAGTGACGTTTATCTTCGTCATGTAAAAAACGTATAATTATTTAAGCAAATGTAAACTCATTGTAAACTCTCAAAATTTATATATGTACGAAAATTACATTAAATATATTTTTAGACATTGAAAGGCCTTTAGACACACGAGTATAATCAAATATTCAAAGACTAATTGATATACAAACTCAATTGTAGTCGGATTCAATTTTGTAATCAAACGAATCAAATTAAGTTTATTTTTAAGTTAAGTTTATTTTATTTATTTTGTCGCTCTCTATAATTCATAATGATGCGATCTGTCCGCTAAAAGATTGTTTTGGCCAGACCGCTGACCGATTGTCCTGACCGACAATGATGTTCATTGTTTATACATGACGCGGGCTGAGTTCACTTGGATCTGACCGCAAAACGCATCCTGTGTGGCAAATCCTTAAAGCTTGAACTACACCCACGCGTGCAGTTCGCCAATGACAGGTCGCGCGACCCATGAGAGTCCGCGCGACCTGTCATTGGCCTATGATCACGCCGGCGATGGCGATCTGCACGCGTTGGTGTGGTTTAAGCTTAAGAATCTGTGACGTTCCAATGCGCAAAGATTAATATAAAGTGGCTAATGCAAATTCCTATCACATTTCAATCGGTAATCCAAAGGGATCGGGGCTTCTATTTAAGTTACAAGATAGTTCAACTTAATATTATCTATGCCATTGCTTGAATGAATAATTATGCAATATTACTTTACTTCAAAGCAAAGTTTTGTTTGAATTCAATTCAAAAGCTGAAGTTGCCTTATATTAGCTTTTGTATAAAATAATTATGTAATATTTTATAAAGCATTTGTCTGCTAATCCATCCCCGAGGTTTTGAAAAAAAAAATCCTGATTTTGTCTGTGTGCCTGTGATAATCTGATTCACCTGCCTATTTCAAAGCCTCCACTCTAATATACTTTTGCATACATAGTATGCCTAGATGTTTTTTACACTAGACAAATTGTAGGCATATTTTCTAGGAGCTTTACCCCTTTTGCAATATCTTCAAAACAAATATGAAGCTAGACTCATATTATACCTAAGCTTTAACCTTACTCGTGTGTTGGCTAGGTTAAATTGCTTTTTCAATCCCGTGTGTATTCTGAAATTGAATTTTAAGTAATTTTCTACCTTAACCACTCAATTTAGAACGCATAACTGAAGAAAGTTTTCTAAGTGGTTTCTAGCTAGCTTATTTTAGGCTAACGTTTGCATTTTAAACATAAAATACTGAACTGAAATAATGAAAACAGAAAATGAACGTTATAAGAGTATCTTCAGAGATATAAATTAATACACTTTTCGTATTTATACTTAAATATAATTGTTAATTAACGTTTTATGTTCTGTTGAGACAAGTTGCGATAAAGGTATTTATTGTTATTTAAATTGATAATTAATTGGCAGTGGATTCAGTGGAAAATGTGAAAGTTGAAACAATATTAATATGATTCTGTTCGAGCTCGACATAACCTTTATTTAAAACATGTTTAGTTTATTTTACTTTAAAAATATAAAAGAAAATACGTTGCTTGTTAGAAATTGTCCGTTGCTCAACCCAAACCAAATAATTAATCTTCTATTTCTAACTTAGTACCTAGCTAGAATAACTTTAAGATGGCTGTTTATTAGATATCTTGGCCGCAAGATCTGTAACCCTTGTTGGAAATTCTAGACTTAATTATTCGTAAATAGATATGAGGCACTTAGGCTAAATTGCACCACCTAACTATGACCGTAACTACAACGATAACCGGCGTTTTTCGTATGGAGTTTGACATATATTTGACGTTTGTCAAAGTTAAAGTAAGGTGGTGCAACCCAGCCTTAGGAAGATACCGCAAACCCCAGCCATAAAATTACAGGGCGAAGTAACTACATCGGTCAATCACGACAAAGTTGATTGAGTTTCTTGCGCTGGTTCTTCTCAGCACTGGCCCATTTGTTGTCCCGAAGCAGTGATAGGCTTTAAAGTTTAGTAATACTGGGACATGAAAACGTGCTTTTATTTGTAGAAAATAAATAACATTTATGACTTTTAACAGGCAGGAGGCAAACGAGCAGATACTTAAATTAAAAAGTTATTGCTGTTTCAAAAGTGTGATAGGTAGGTACTTAGTTTTGCGGGCTAGTGTAGTATTAACTAAACTATTGATTTACTCGTAGGTACAAGTAAAACTTTGACATAATGATCATAGCAAAGCCACCAATCTTGGTGGCTCTAGGCGAGAAAAACAAAAACTTTTAAAATGTTTATAAGACTTATCGAGCGACCGAAAGTTTATTGTCCCACGAGAATGACGATTTTTAGATGAAGTTTTATTTTTGATTTTGACTTTTATTTAACCTTATCAAGAGCTACAATCTTAGACCTTATTATAAAGAACCTAAAATGATAATTTCGCCGTAATAATTCCAGATGAACAACTCCAACGGCTCGCAAGTCGTGCTGAAGAAGATGGACCTGTCCCTCGCTGGAAACTTCAGCTGTGAGGTCACGGCTGACTCCTCTTTCGCTACCCAGATCGCTACCAAGTTCGTGGATGTTATAGGTAAGAACATTATGTTATTTAAATAATAAGTACATACTCCTGCACTGGACACTAAATAACCAAGTTTTAAGGACTAAGTATACGTTAGTTTTACGGGAACTGGCTTTATGAAAGTCAGTTTTTTGGAAAGTTTCGGAATAATCAAAAAAGTTATTAGATTAGGTTATTATGATAACAATTTACAATAGTACCTATAATAGTTTCATCAACGAAGACGTGCCCCACCAATTTTTGGTCGAGGGAAGCGCGGGGTGCGGGAAGTCTGAACCGAGCAATCCGAGCGTCATTATTGTAGGTACGTGTATGTGCGCTCATGGATTATTTAGCGTGTAATATATAACACTCAAATATTAGCGGAAGAATGGTGGGGCGCGTCTTCGTGGATGAAACGATCTATAGGTACCATAAAGTTTCTACCGACCTAATCTAATACGTATCCTAACTTACATTTACTATTTTTACATAAAAGCCAAAATGGCAATAAATAAGCAGACTTTTTTTTAATTTCGAACGGGATAAAAAGTATCCTATGTCCTTCTCCTGGCTCTAAACTACCTCCCTGACAATTTTCAGCTAAATCGGTTCAGCCGTTCTTGAGTTATAAGCGAAGTAACTAACACGACTTTCTTTTATCTAGCGCAACAGTCAGTGACGGTACTAGATTGGCCCGAAAACAACTCAGACTTAAGCCCTATAGAGCTTATGGTATGAAACGAAGGAAAAAGTTGCAGCTCAACGTACTGGCACTAAAAATCAGCATTTCGTGGCATTTAATGGTATTTGGAATAATATTTCTTTAGAAACCTGTAATGATTTGATTGCATCCATGCCGCGCCGATGTCAAATGGTTATAACCAACAAAACCAACCATATTGGTTATAAAAATACGTTTGATGATTTTTTTTTGTATTCTATATTTATTAATGAAAACTTTTTATGTAATAAACACTTAAATAATTTCCAATTTATTTACATTTACAGTGAAAGTGTTACGTGTCCCTAATTAGTTGTCCATCCCTAGGTCAATAAATGTGTAGGTGGCAATAATTTATTTATTTTAAAAATATTGATCGCAACTAGCTAGTTTCTTTTCTGGCCTTTAAATATTTAGAATACTAGCCAAATTACTTGTTATTAATAGGCACAAGCTACAAAGCCTCGTGAAGATATTTTTTTGGGACTGGAGAGACGGTCTTGTGTTTTAGTCATATAACGTCCCTAATTAGTTGACCACGACTGTATATAGATAAATGAAAAATAATCTAACCAATATCAAGTTTCATCTTGTGTGGTCTTAGCTGGTCTGTTGGCTTTCAATATGGAGTCAAACGGTTACAATTAATGTAATTATACTAATGGCTCAATCTGAGATCAAATGTCTAATGATGCGACCAAGCTTAGGTAACACGAGAGAGAACTAGTTAGCTAGCTGATTGATACTGCAGTCCTCAATGGATGTTTGAAAGTATTACGCCCGTATTCACAAAAATTACTATGAGGTCTCACAGTGCGCGTGGACGCACAGGGTGACACACGAACAAATCACAGAGCTCTATTCAAGGCTGTGCGTTCGTTGCTGCTCCACTTAAGCATGCATTTTTTGCGAATAGTTAATAGTTGAGTTAGTGTGTTCAATCAAACATACCTGAATGTAGTACAAAAGATATTGTGAAGATAATAAATAATAAATAGCGATTAAGGAAACAGCGATTTCCAAGGTATAGAGCTATAAATATAGGCATAAAGCTAGCCTTGAGAGGACTCCAGTGAAGGTCTGAGAGCAAAAGTAATCCAATCACAGGTGTGATACTCGTAGCATGGGAGTGTGCAGAGTACAGTGTGCCAGTGTTTTCCTCTCACAAGAGTTGAGTCTCACTGGATCATAATGAAACTAGCATTAGGGGAGACCTCTGTACAGCAGTAGATTGAAGACTCATGACATGATTGTGAGAGTGTCTGTCAGAATGACTTTGAAATTGCACTGTGGTATGATTTGAAATTGCACATTTGGTATCTCTCGACATTTTCGTATCAAAACACAATGCGCGTTGAAGCAGGCCTGGCTCACTCCGCGCGGTACATCCGATAATTACCTACAGCGAAGCGCCCCGCCGGCGGGTATTATATCAGTCGAGTGTCACGCGCTCGCCCGTCAGGACGCTGGCTTGCGTTTTAGTATGATTATAATTCTATGATCGAAGTATTATTTAAAAATGGACATAAAGAGAAAGAAATATTGTGCGGCGTTTGGGTGTTTAAATTCGAAGAGAAATTACCGGATTTATCTTTTTTTTTCGCTTCCCAAAGATGCTGAAAGGTATGTTGGCCATGTAGGTAATCAATAATAAAATTCTTAGGATAGTATAGGATTCTTTATTTTTCTGTAATAGTATGTTTAATTTATCTGTCTTATGTTAAAATAGGTAGGTTTGAATGAAGACATTGTAATAGAACAAGTTTTTTTAATCCTAATTAGGTATTTATTTGAAATGTTATTTTTACTTACCTACATACGTACCTCATTACAAATAAGTAGATTAGTTATTTTTTCACTAGACAGCAACCCTAACAGCGTAAGAAGAGTTCAGAGGCACGCGATAGAAAGAGACAAAACTTGTAGGTGAATAAAATTGTAGGTACGTAGTGCTGTGCGAGCTGAATTCCACAGTATCGCGTCGCAGCAAGACTCGCATTTATTTAAATCGTCGTGCGGAGTAATCCTTCTGTACCTGTACTATTACTTATTCTGTGGTTGAAGCCAATTTCATTATCAACTAAAAGCACCGCGCTTAGCTCAGCATTTAGCTTCGCGTTGAATTCCACGCGTAGCGTGTGTGTAAGGTTATAATAATACTAGCTTTCCGTCCGCGGCTTCACCCGCGTGAAATTTAGTTTGTCACAGATCGTGATAAAGTATAGCCAATATGTTAATCTGGTTTATAAGCAATAACACTGTAAGGTTTCATCAAAATCAGTTCAGCAGTTTTTGCGTGAAAGAGTAACAAACATCCAGACATCCAAACTTTCGCATTTATAATATTAGTAATATAGTAACCTAGATAATAATGTACGTATAAAACATCGGTGTTACGGAACAGACGATACACGTCTACATCCCAAATTTTCAAACATTACAATAATATTACATGAATATTCATTTCTTATTCGTTAGTACGTATATTGTACTTGGGGGAAACATTATCATACTCATAGAGAGGACTAGACTAGTCTGATATTGATTCTAGGAAAGATACTGGTATGTTTTATAATTTCAAAGGCCTGGAAACCTGTATCCACGAAATGTAGCATGTTTTTTGGTGTTTCCCTTTAATCAAGTAGGTATACTTAAAATACGACAAGAGAAACTTTTATCATTTTTCTCGTTTATATGACATAGAGATAAACTATAATAAAATCGTTTCAAATATACTACACTCGTTTGTTTCAAATCAAATCAAATCAAATCAAATTTCTTTTACATGTTACATGAATTAGTTTACATGAATTACGACTCAAATATCAATCAATGTTCATTCTTACAGAAATTCTAACTATCACAAGATTTAATTTAAGCTTGAATTTGAGTAACGGATCCTAGCAGACCTTACCAGGAACAATGAAATCCAGGGCATTATTACGTTTATTTCTATTTAGAATTCACAAAGGTAAGCTCCTTAAGTCGCCAATAATATGATGTAATGAACTCGTAAACAATAAGGTTGACGTTGTGTAAACCTACATCAGTCTGCGTGATATAATGTTGATGTTACGGACAGCCTAGGTCAATCCCTGTTAGGCCTGGGTTCCACCAAGGCAGAGCTGAGCAGAGAAGTATTTTGCTCAATAACACTCACTAAAAAAAACAATCAGATTCCATATTTTCCATTGCTCTAACTTCGCTCAACTCCACTTCCCGCCACGCTGCAAACGCTGTCAAAATCTAAAGAAAAATTCGTCCTCCGCACCACTCCGCTCTGCTCTGTCTTGGTGGAAACCGGGCCTTACAGTAGGTTGTTAGCAAATGCTAACAAGATTGTGTCTATTGCATCAGTTGTTTTCGAGTTATTCTGCACAGCATCGAAAGTGCAGCATTTTACTTTAAAAACGTTGACATACTCGGCTATTCGTTCGTGAAAACTTGAAATTCGTTAACACTCGTTACTATGAGTGTACTTTTTTAGAGTATCGAGGTCCTGGTAAAAATAACTTAATGATCAATCCCATTGATCTAATTTAAAAACTGCCTAAATGACACCGTTCAAGTTTTACTTTGTATTAACTAGAGATAGAGGTTTTCTAATATCATCATCGTTTTTTGCTTTAATCTAGGATTTTATCAACCATTATGGATTTGAATGATTCAACCTACCCCTGTATAAAGGTACCAAAAAGAATGTTATAGGTCTACAAAATCGGACATAGAGAAATGAATCAGTTTGTCATTTACACTCCACTGGCTGCCGTTATCAAGCCGCGGATATGTTGGCATATTTTTTTAGTTTTACTGACAGTTCGGCAGATGCGGGACATATGAACTTTGGTTGGCATTTTTTTGTGCTTTGGGATTTTTACATTCGTCAATTTTATTTTCATTGGCTTTTGGAAAATCTCTTTTGTGTTGACTTAGGTAAGCCGTATTATACTGATTTCTCTAGATTATCTAGATCGGAGGTTCTGAACTCGATTTCTAAGTTAGTTTAACAAATTGAAAATGTTTTGTGTGTTTTCTGTTAACATGGTGATACTTACACCCGTAGGGTAAGTCCAGGATAGATGCCCCACTTTTTGAAACAGCTCTGTAACTCAGTCAGTAAGTTTTTATCAACAATTTGACCTTAGTATCTGTAAACTTTGGTCTTTCGTCTATGATATTACTATAATTATTTTAGTTTAAGTTATACCGATTCTGAGTAAATACTATTTTAATTGACCTCTAAAAAGTGGGATAGACGCCTAATGTGGGGGATAGAAGACTGACTGTATGATTGCTTCAAAGGATA